ATGGGAGGAGCAAGCTTGGGGGCCGACGGTGGGCAGGGAGGAGGGAATGGGACTGGGCCTGAGTGGAGGAGAAGCCGTCCTGCCTCAGCGGTGAGGGGGGAGCAGTAGGCCCGGCCCCATGCGGCAGCAGTGGGGGGAGGTAAGGAGTGGGCTTCCTTCCTCTCAGCCTGGTCCCACTCCTTCTCCCCGCGTCGGCCCCAAGCCCGGTCCTCCCGTCCCCCTGCTTCCCCCCCCCCACTCCGCTGTGGTGGCCCAGCTTCTCCCCACTCTTGGGCCCGGTTCTCACTCACATTTGGGCCAGGCCTGCTTCTCCTCTCCCCCCTGCTGCTGGGGGTGGGAGTGGGGGCCGCAGCAGCACACCGGGCTCCATCCCCACCTGCTCCCCGCCCCCCCTCACTCTTGTCAGGCAATTGGCTAGTTGTGAGATAATTGCCAGGATGTACCACTGTGCACAGCAAAAGGTAGCTGAAGTCTGCACTCAACCCATGTAGCCTGCCACTAAGAAGCAGAAACGCAGCAACAAATGTAGAGAACACATGAGAACAATGGCCTGTGAATAAAGAGCATGGCAGACGTTGGCCTGGCCTGAGCCAGTAAAGAAGGAGAAGGTGGCCAATATTTAACCTGTAGTTGTAAGATTGGCTGTAAGTGGTGAACACATGGTTAGGATGGCACAGTAAACTACACATGTGCACAGAATAAGTACATTTCTTAAGATTTGGAATGTGGGGAGAAGTAAAAGCATTAACTGTTGTAATCTTCCAAAGACAGTTTAACTGCATTTTTCATAGCAACGTTTCCAACATTGACAGGATATTACAGCAAATTAACAGCGTCATAAGTGAAGAACCTATCAGATATGTATACCCTGAAATTTGGGGGTGGGGATGGAAGTGGGGGAAAGGGAGGAAATTCTGAAATGCACACAGCATTTGTGTATGCAACACTAGTGGTATATCTGACCACCAACAAGCTTCCAGCCAGAGTGGAGCTCAACTACTGAACTGTTTAACCTCAGCCAACTCTGAGCCAAAACCAAGACCACCCTGACCTCAATCACTGAGGTCCAGTATGCCGATGATGCTGTAGTGAAGTGCGTGCTTACTCGGAAGCAGACCTTCAGGCAGTCATTGACGTCTTTACTGAGGCCTACAAGAAAACAGGACTGATGCTTAACTTTAAGATGACTAAGGTCCTTCACCAACAAGTTTCTAATGAACAGTCCCCAGCTCAGGTAATCCAGATATATGGTGAAACTCTGGAGAATGTTGATTTCCTGTACCTCAGAAGCCAGCTCTCCCAGAAGGCTGACACGACGAAGAAATCCAACATGACCTCACACATGCAAATGCAGCCTTTGGACGTCTGAAGAAATGGGTGTTCAAAGACAGAGACAATGTACAGGAAACATCTAAAGTTGTTGAAGTACCATCAACGCTGCCTGCAGAAGGTCCTTTGAATCCAGTGGGAAGAGAGATGCACCAACTTAAGTGTCCTCCCATAAGCAACCATGAGTATTGAAGCGATGATCATTCATTATCAACTTTGTTGGGCTGGCCATGTCATCCAGACGTCCGACTTCAGACTCTTGAAGCAAGTTTTATTCTCCCAGCTCAGCTAAGGTGTACGCTCAAGAGGAGGGCAGAGAAAGTGCTTCAGGAACACGCTCAAGGTCAACTTAAGAACATGGAACATTGATGTCAACTTGTGGGAGACTATCATCCAGGAGTGCCCCAAATGGAGGACGAGTCTGCTGGAGGGATCTCGGTACTTTGCAACCTCATGACTACAACAGATGGAAAAGTGGGAATGGCAGAAACAATGCGTCACAGAGCAAATCAAGAATCCAGTGCCACCCACCCCATACAAAAACACATGTCCGAGCTGCAGTAGTGTCTGTCAATTCCGGATAGGCCTCATCAGCCATCTTTGGACATGCATATAAAACAACCATGGAAGACAATCGCTCTCAACTGCGAGGGATTGCCGAAGACAGGATGCATGATGGGCAGCCTTCAGAACTGAGAGTGGGGAAAAGGCGACTGCTATCCAGACTGTTGCCTGCTCCAAGGACTTCCAGAGTATTTCTGAGTAGATAATGGGACAGGCCTTATTCACTGGAAGACAGGAGAGAAATACGATCCAATACATTATTTATCTTTGGAACTCTAAGTAAGGTTTTCATTCAAATCCATGGTGCCTGCTAACTACCCTGCGGGCTGCTGTAAAATGTAGTATTCCTGCAATTCCTAGAACAGAAACACAAGAATCTCAGATTTACACCTATGGGAGACCACCAAGGGGTCACCTGCCAAGAGTCCTAGGATTCCTTTCCTCCCATTCCACAAACTCTCTCTTCTAGAAATGGCATTGCACACTAGCAAGCTATAGCAACCCCCACATGGATGAGTTGTATCTTCAGTGCACAGATGCTGACAAGTGGAAACACTCAACAGAAGTGTTTTTGGTACCCCATTGTTGGGTACATGCCACATCAGAATCCCTCTATTGCATTGGTTCTGTCACAAGTGCATGTTAATCTTATATTATGGGGCAGCAACAGCTCCTGAAAACAGGTACTGGTTGTTACATGGTAGTTTACCTGGCATCTTAGGGAAATTAAAAGCCAGATGGCTAAAGCTTGCTTTAAGACCAGGTAACCAAGCAGCTTGAACCTCAGACTTTGACTGTACACTGTCTAATATGAAACTTCTGCAAGAAGAAAGGATGAAGGTTTTGATGAGATTTGCCTATCATCTGAGGAGTTTAAGATTGCTTTCTCCTAGATGACAACTACTGGGGCACAGTCAGGATGGCCTTGTGCATCTACATGAGGGAAGAACAAATGGGATTTTGGCTAAAGGATCCTGGTTTTGGGAACCCATCACAGTCATGAATGTATTAGCAGAACTGTGCCTCAAACAGGCATAGATGACCTGTCAGGGGGAGCAGGGAGGGGCACAGGTCACGCTGCCTGCCACCCCACCTCCTCTCCAGGGTACAGCCATTGCCTAAGGGGAGCAGCAGAGGCAGCTGGGCCATGGCGGCAGGGTAGAACTGTGGCCTGGCGCACAAGTGGCTGGTGGCAGGAAATGGCAAGGGCAGTGCGGCCCCTCTCCCATCCATTACTCCTCATGCTGCTGGCAGCGTGGCTGGCATGGGAGCTCTAGCAGCAGTGGCAGCAATGAGTCTCACTGCCCTGCTTGGCCCTCCTGCAAAGAGTTCTGCCTATTGGGCCATGGAGGCGGCCCCTGCCTGTGCTGGTCCAGCCAGGTTGCAGCCCCATGCCAGCTGTGGGTTCACACATCTGGGGGGCACGTGCCCCCACCCCAATACTGAGGGGCTGTGGTTGGGTATGAGGGGCACCAGCAGGACCAAGGGGCTGTTTTCTACTTGGACTATTTACTAGGGTGAGACTGGGCATTGATGTTTACAAATGGGTCCTGGCACAAAAAAGGTTGAGAACTGCTGGTTTAGACTTAGAGGTTGCCTGCCGCTTTGTCAGGCACATTTAGCCCTGGAATGCATGAGAGGTCCTTGGGGTATGGTTCCACCTCTAGCCTACTGTGGCCTGCCTTGGGAACTTTCACATGGCTCTGGTGACTTGGCTTGCTATATGCTCAGCACTAATTCCTCCAGGCTTGGAGCAGTCTCTGCAAAAGATAATGTTCCTCTGCTGTATGATGAAACAGCAAAGAAAATACCTGCTTTGGGAGACGAATGGAAATTCTGCTAGATATGCATTACTGTTCGCAAGGGTAGTGCCTGGAGAGGGGGTGGAAGCAGGGAAAGAAACAGAGTGCGAGTGCCAGAGCAGAGCAACATATTCATGAAATATGGAGATGGCAGGGCTGCCCTCCAGTGTCAGGGCTTGACTGAAGCACCTTTTTACCTCCACAAAGGTGCTGAAAGTGTGATGCACTATTAATGCCAATTTTTAGCAACAGTATGCAGGAATATTAGCACTTGTAGCTTCTCATTCATGAGACTGTTCAGAATGGTTTTTAAATCTTTGGGGAGGCATGGCTCTGCCAGAGAAACCAAAACTACTAATGTGAAAAATACTTGCAGAGCTAGAGAAAAAATAAAGGAAAATGCCTTTTCTGGGTTGACAAATTTGACAATGCTGCTCCAGTATGCCACTGCAACCATGCCAGAGGGTTTAGTGCTCAAGCAAGTCACTGTAAAGAAAAATCCTTTTGACTGCACAGACTACTGCCAATAAAAAAAATTCTAGTTGACCACATTTAGATGTGTAGTATGAACTAATGCAAAGGCATGCATGTTTACTGTGCTCTTCATACTTGAAGTTTGAATATCACTGGTGGCAGGAGGCTGGCTAGTGAAGACTTGTAGAGAAGTGAGTCTGTAGGTTTGCTGTATGGGTGCCCAACTTAGCCCTTGGGAGGCAGATTGTTGAGAACTTTTCCATGCAAGGACACCTCTAATCCATGAGCACAAATTTACCTAGTTCCTTCCTGACATCGGTCACAAAATATGGCTCAATTTTGGCATCTCCTGCCATGACCCAGTCCAGCTCCTTGCAATATGAGCCAGCTCATTCAGGGCCCAGCCAGAAGTAAACATCCTGTCTGCTTGTAGACCTGCTTTAAGTCCTTCACCTCTGCATGGCATGGCACAGAATCCTGCTGGTCCCTACTGTGATATACCTCCCAGTTGCAGGTGTTTTGGGGGAGTTTTAAGCTGCAACTTTGCTTCAGCCATAGTTTTAGAAGATCTAGGATCTCAGCATGACTCCAACTGCAGGCACAATGAGAAAGCAACTGAAAAGCTAGTGGGTAGCACTCACTTGAACAGAAAGCAGGATGCCACAGGCCAGCATTCAAACAGGGAGCCAACATCCAGTTGCCATGACCCCAGGGCAGCAGAAACTATACAGGTAAACAGAACTGCCAGGAAAAGGGAGGATGTAAAAGCAGCATGGGGATGTGTTTTGGAGACCAGCACAATACATCAGGATGGGCAGATGCATGCAGAACTCCTGCTCCAGAATTGTGTAACCCCAAATAAAGTTCTACTGATACAGGGGTGGTGCTTTCACATTTGCATCAGTTCAAAGGGCTGTGGTATGAGAAATCACTGAATTCTTGTATAACTGCTTATCAGGTCTCTCAAACTCCTGAGAGTTCAGGGTCTGCTTCAGCACCCATAGCAAGCAGTTCACCTACCTTTATATCACTGAGCCTCATGTTTGGACTTTCTCCTCTCCTGATGACCCTTCTCTGATCACCAAAGTCCCTTCTCCCTATGTTTCCCATCCTTGTCAGGTTCAGTCACCTTTTTCAGGCATCAGGTTTTCCAGACATCAATTTCTCCCCCTGGCTCCTCTCTTAGTTCCTACTGTCAGACAGCATCAGACAGGTTCACTGGAGCCAGCAATAACAGTTCCCTTTTTTTACTCTGCCCTCCCCCCTCACACCCCACCACAGGAAGTGCAGCTGGTGCAAAGCACAGGGATAGGCACTAGAAGGAAGAGGGCCAGAAGGCCCAAGGTGAAGGAGATCAGTGCCCCAGGCCTGAGCCCTGTGCTCTCCAGACACACTCATGGGTGCAGGGGGGAAGGGGGCAAGGCTGGATCTAAATCCCCAGCTGCCCCTCTAAGTCAGGGGGTTTCAAGCTTTTTTAGACCCAAGGTGTTATCCCAAATGCTTGGATCAGGGAACCAGTGAGTTGTTGAGAGAAAGAATACTTGAGATGCAGAAATTTCCCATCTACTAATGTTTAATCATGGCGCAGCATACACTCCTATCCTAGTTACTGTGCAAGCAAGGTCTTACTCCCTGTCCTGTTGGTCAGACAGCTCAGAGTCTGGCCAGGGCATTCAAAGGTGTAGCCCAATAGGTCAGTTCTCCAGCAGTCCAACTCCCAAGCTATTTCATACCATTTGGTTTCCTGCATATTCATGACTTATTTCTACTCTTACTACTTGCAGCCTACTGACAGCATCCACTTCTTACTGCTGGGCCTTCTCTCAAATGTCTTACCTGCATGAACACACCTGTTCCCTAGAAGACCACGCCCTCAGGCCTTTCTTAGGCGCGTCCTCCCTGTCCACTCATCCCCCTCACTAGTACCACCGGTGTCGATGCTTTGCTGTGGTCCGCAGGATCTTGCTCCCCACTAGGTGCTCACACCACCCCCGCGCTGCCCTGCCTAGAGCTCGCGGGGAGGCTGCCCCCGCCCCTCGCACAGCAGCGCCAGGGGCTCCTCTGCTGCCCGCAGCTCAGGCCGGGGCCCCGCGAAGCTTCCGGGTCCGGCTCGTGGCCCAGAATCGCGGCCCCCGGGAGAGAGCCCGACCCCTGCTCCCCGCGCTCACCCTCGCACTTGCTGGGCAGCCGGACCCAGTCGGTGTCGTCGGCGGCCGCGCAGCCCCCCAGGGCCCGGCTCAGCGTCAGCGCCACGCTCCGCTTCCTTCACTTCCGGTCATGCACTTCCGGCACTCGCCCCGCCCTCATCACCCCTGCGAAACTGTAGCAACCCGCAGCCGCGCCCAACCCGAGCGGCTTGAGTGGCCGAGGGGACGGCCGCAGCAGCCCCATTGCCCACAACCCGAGGGAACGGCCGCAGCAGCCCGATTGACCAATAGGCGCGCCTCTCACGTGCCGCACCGCAGCCAGCCGCGGAAGCGGGTGTTTTGACTCTTCCGCACTGCCATAGGCTGCGGTGCGCCACGACCCTTGTTGACCACGTGGCAGGAGCGGCCGCATGTGGTGCAGAGTGGGACGGGGAGAGAGCCGCGATCTTCCCGCTTCCGTTGCGGGGCTCTCCTGCCGGCTGTTCAGTCCCTGCCCAAAGCCACCGCCGGGCAGGAGGATGCGGAAACTCCCACCCTCACGTGCTAGCCGGAGGCTGGGAAACCTCCGGGCCCGGCTGCGCAAAGCTTGAGGCGGTGACGAGCAGCTACGGGAGCGTTGGCAGCTTCGGGGTGGGCCTCGCTGTGGCCGGCTCCGCCTTCATCGGAGAAAACGCGATTAGGAGCCCGCTGTTGCAGGGCTATGCCTTCCCCCTGTCCATGGAGCCTTTTGGTGGGGACAACCTAAGCGTTGGGACTAGGGTACTGTAACATGAGGCCTGCTCTGAGCCAAGTGATCGGAGCAGAAGCTCCCTGTGTTGAGCCCCAGCTCAAGTCTCGGATCATGCCCGGTATGCAAAGGCCAATAGAGATACCAGGGGTGAAAGTACAAAGAAGGTTTATTGCTAGCAATAAAAAGGTGCGAGCGGAATAATTTCACATAACAAGCACACCAGATTACTATATCTAAGCATCTTTTATACAGGAGTTTTCAAGTTTTCACCAGCGTGCTTGTTTGCTGATTGGTTGTAAGGAGTAACGCAAGGAGTTCTTTACTGAGCATGTCTCTATACCTGTGTTTTAGCCATGTAGCTCATTTACATACATGTGTGTTTCATTAGCATACTTCTTCCCCACCTAGGGGCATGATTTTTAGTATTTTAATGAGCCCTTTAACCCAGTACTCTTCTGCTTTTATTTTCAAGCCCTCTTTATCTAAGACTGTCTCCTCCTTATCATTGCAGATGGGCATTCGTCACATAACATTCTCTTCTGCTTCGTCTTCGGGTAGTGCTTTCTAGGTCACTCCTTACATTCCCCCCTCTGGAGCATTTTTAATTATTATTATGATTGCTCCATTCAATTTGGCTTAACACAAATCTAGTATCATCAGCTTTCTTTGTTTGTAAAATCATTTGATTCACCTTAGGCCTGAAGAGATATAAAAACAGGTAAACATTGGATACAGCAACAAACCATAATCCCTATAACACAAAACAAGACAACCATACTAAATAACTGTCTCAACCATC